ACACACCCCTGCACGTCGGAGGATTTGTAGTCAAAGTAGTACCCAGCTAGAAGTACCTGAGTACGTACCTGGATAGCAGCCTCACCTGGAAAAATAACACTTTCAGCCTGATCAGTAAAGCTCACCAGAGGCTCTACTTCCTGAGGAGGTTGAAGCGTGCAGGAAATGAGAGCTCAGTCCTCATCTCCTTTTACAGATGTGCGGTGGAGAGTGTTCTGTGCTCTGGCATCAATGCGTGGCACGGAAACTGCACCGTGGCAGAGAGGAAAGCTCTAAAGAGGGTGGTGAAGGCTGCTCAGAGAGTGGACGGAGGCACCCTCCCAACAGTCACATACATATTCACCTCCAGATGCGGGAAGAGGGCCACCTGTATCATGAAGGACCCCACTCACCCAGCACACATACTATTTGTCCCCTCAGGCAGGAGGCTGAGGAGCATTAAATGCAAAACCACCACTTCTCAGTGCATAAATGGACAAGAACTGATATTGTAGCACCTTAACCACTATTGACACTTATTATCACTTTATCCATGCAGGTCATCATGCCCTTTGCTGCTAAAGTATTTCTTTACACCTATATTTATACCTACACTCTAGTTATATTATTATTTATTGTATTGTTTTATTATTATCATTTCTGTTTGTTCAAAGAACAAAACAAAAAAAACAACTATTTATTTATTACTTCAAAACATTTTTTTCGTCATTATTTTTGTTTCTTTGCACTCTGGGACCATGTGTACATAATTTTGTTCCACCTCTTGTTAACATGTGATGCAAATGTGTTGAATCCTTGAACCTTGTTTATGGGTGAAACAAAAGCTGTAAAAAACTCGTTTCCATAGTTTTAGCTACTTGCAGGATGACATTTAAAGTCTGGAATGAAACACCTGAGTTACAAGTGAAACAACATTTTTCTCCACAGCCCTTAACCGACTCTAACCAGGAAACAAGCTATTCTTCTTTCTTAGTAAAGACACACAGAGGATCAAAATGATTTCAGACAAAACTATCAGCTTCCTCTGAGTGAGTCCAGCTAAAGGACAGAAAAGCTGAAAACTCCAACACTGCTGCTTGAAGCTGTTGACGGGAGAGGAGCCAGGACTGACTGTACTTCCTATCTGCTGTTTTCAGCTTTACTCACAGAATGGCTTCCAGATCAGAGGAGGATCTTTGCTGTCCAGTGTGTCAGGAGATCTTTACAGATCCTGTTATTCTGTCATGTAGCCACAGCTTCTGTAAAGACTGTCTGAAGAGATGGTGGAAAGAGAGACCAACACACGAGTGTCCAATTTGTAAGAGAAGGTCTTCAAAGCCAGAACCTCCTTTAAACCGGGCTTTAAAAAACCTGTGTGAGTCGTTCTTACAGGAGAGAGATCAGAGAGCTCCAGAGGGTCTCTGCAGTCTGCACTCTGAAAAATTCAAACTCTTCTGTCTGGACCATCAGCAGCCAGTGTGCGTTGTCTGCTGTGCATCAGAAAAACACACCAACCACAGATTCAGACCCATCGATGAGGCTGCACAACAACACAAGAAGGAACTTCAGGAAACTCTGGAGCCCTTAAAGGAGAAGTTAAAGATTTGTGAAGAAGTTCAAGTGAAGTTTGATCAAACAGCAAAACACATTAAGGTCCAGGCCCGACACACAGAGAGGCAGATTAAGGAGCAGTTCAAGAAGCTTCACCAGTTTCTAGCAGAGGAAGAGGAAGCCAGGCTGGCTGCACTGAGGGAGGAA